AGAAATCTAAAACATTTGGATGATGCAGAAGGACATCCTACTTATTGATCCGGTCTCCAAAGACTTTCTTCTTCATATTGTACTATCTTCTCGAAACAAACGTTTTTACATCAAATAAATTATAGTTAAACAGCATGTATCTTACACTCGATCGTAAATAGGATGTTGCTAAATTCGTCACTTATGTCATAGTCCGTTGCATTGACTGTGAATATCACTTCGTCTGTAAACACAAAGGGAGATAAGGCAAACAATGTATGTCTTGACTAAGATATGGTTAGATGTTCGGACACTCATTTCTTTTCGGACAAAACTCGTATTTTTATGTGAATGAACGTAGTTACAGATCGGAAAGAAAAATGTTAAGAAGTTATTTGTTTGACTTGCCGTATTCCTACGGTAGTATAAAGAATTAGTAACTTGATAAACTGTTTAAAATATTCCCAACCATACATTTGTTTAAAGAAAAATATATACTTTGCTCTCTAATTTTGGGTTGATTATTGGATCTTATGAATAAAATAGAAACATAGAATGAAGCAATTTTTGCTTAGTTAATATCCAGTTGGTGTATTGAAGTAGAGTTATGAAATTCGCGAAAGCAATACTCATTTAAGACTTTGTAGAATAGACATGTACATGTAATAGAAAGTGCAACGAAACAGGCTATCTGATTTGTACGAGGGGCGTAGCCCCCGAGTATAAATCAGATTTCCTATTGTTTTGATGTTCTTTCTCTTTTGTATCATAGTCAAACATATAACACGTTCTCTGTTGCCAAGAAAAAAGTAACCAATGAACGAGAATCTGAATATGATATCTCTGTCGCTTTACATTAGTCTGCTGTCACAATAAGTAAACCCCAGCAATAATGCCCCAATCAATGGGTATGCTCTGGAGTGCGGGTAACTAATACCTGAAAGGTCTGCAAACTATGAAACAATTATGTAGATATCTTGTTTATATGAATAATGAATAATCTTTAGACTTATACCTGTTTTTTGGCCTCTCGATAACGTATAGTTGCCAGGTAGATTTAAAAATACTGGCGCAACGTCATCAACGTCTGAAACTGTAACATTAAACGTCACTGTATACGTCACCTGCGGGACGTCACTATCTATCAACCTGCAGATTACATTTTGTAGTATAATTAAATATGTAAATGTTTGCTCGGAGACCTAAACGAATGAAAATGTTCATCATATCGAGTTACATTCGGTTAATGATATTAATTAATTACATTTTCTAGGTGTACATATCAGTTGGTCACATATTTGACGTCAAATAAGGATTTTACCAATTTGTGGGGGTGTTCTTGACATACTATACATTTATATTTTGGAAAAAACTCTGATATTTATTACCTTTTTGACTTTGAGATTACAACATATTTCGAGAAAGAACATTTCTTAGAGTATATATGAGCAAACTTACGTTGCAAGTAATGTAAATTAAGTGATAACATCTTAGTTGAGAAAACTTACGTTACAAGTAATGTAAATGTACTTATAACATCGTAGTTGAGCAAACTTACGTTGAAAGTAATGTAAATGTACTTATAACATCGTAGTTGAGCAAACTTACGTTGAAAGTAATGTAAATGTACTTATTACATCGTACTTGAGTAAACTTACGTTGAAAGTAATGTAAATGTACTTATTACATCGTAGTTGATCAAACTTACGTTGAAAGTAATGTAAATGTACTTATTACATCGTAGTTGAGCAAACTTACATTGAAAGTAATGTTAATGTACTTATTACATCGTAGTTGAGGAAACTTACGTTGAAAGTAATGTTAATGTACTTATAACATCGTAGTTGAGCAAACTTACGTTGAAAGTAATGTAAATGTACTTATTACATCGTAGATGAGCAAACTTACGTTGCAAGTAATGTAAATGTACTTATAACATCGTAGTTGAATAAACTTACGTTGCAAGTAATGTAAAATTACTGATAACATAGTAGTTAAGAAAACTAACGTTGCATGTAATGTAAATTTACTAATAACATCGTAGATGAAAAAACTTACATTGCAATTAATGTTAATTTACTGATAACATAGTAACTAAGGTGAGAAAACTTACGTTGCAAGTAATGTAAATTTACTGATAACCTCGTAGTTTAGACTAGAGACCAAGTCCAAGTACACATACGGTGGTTCGTCTATCAGAGCAAACAGTTGAGTGTCTTGGTCGGTGATGTTGTTATCTGTAGTTGCCTCATACTATATTAATTTCATAATTTTTGATAAATAAGATAATAAAATGACTTTAGAATTCTCCAATGTAAATATACGACACAAAACATTGTTTAAGTAGACCAGTAATGATGTTTGTAACCATTATACCTACATATATCTACAGATATTTCTAAATAGAAACGACCTTTTTCAAAATTCAACTGTTTTCATAGGCGCATTTACACGTTTAATCTCATGACGCATTTTAAAAAGGACATTTGTATGATATATCGTAAGCCATAAATTAAATTATTCTTTAATTACAGTTTTAAGCGCTACTAGTGTAAACTTTAACGTTATAATAACCATATAAATCTTTTTGTCACTGAAATCTAAACAGATTTGTTTTGTCTTTTACATGACCTGCTTCTAAAAATGACAACAAATAAATACAACGGAAATTGAACTACCGATATATAAGATTAATTATAAAACAACATGTTTTAATTGAAAATAAAATGAAAATCATTCTAATTAACCAATCGCATCTTTTTTACCCTTTCCGTCAGTCTTCGTATTATAAATCATTGACAATAAACGTCATTTATACTAAGGGAAACAAATTTTAAAATAGGAAAGTAATTTACCAGCGGAGTTATCTGTAGATTAATGGATCCTGTGTAGGTGAGGACTATCACACACACGGTGTCGTTGACACGTCCGGTTGTTAGGTCTTCCGGTACTGTGATCTCAATTGTGTCTTCATTATTAGGACTGGTTAAGTTTATTCCCTCTGTTAAATATCAATATGAATATTGTTTTTAAAATATTACGTCAGAGACTTATATAACAGAATATAAATAGCTTTTCCTCATACTCTGCGAGGTGCTCTGAATATTAATTAGGGCTCTTACAAGAGTGGCCTTCTCCCTCCGACAATATTGAAATAAGGGTTTGATTAACCATCCTGTATATCGTTAAATTTGTTTTAATTGTATGTACATAAATTATTTTTAACACTTTTATTTATCCTATTTTACTTGTATTAATTTCTAAATCCTACCCCGCCCTGGGTTTCAAAACAGAAAATTTCCTTATCAAAAGGAAAAAAAATAAAACACAAACAAATAATATTGACATAAGTAAAAAAGAAAGAAAGAAAAAATCGAATTTTCTGAAACAAACAAGTTATTTTCTTTTTTTCTTTTCTTTAAAAAAAGAAGGATATTTGGTACATGTATTCAAACTAATAGTAGTAAGTGCCGATAAAAAACGCGAATTTTCTGGTCAACCCTATGATAAATATTTGTAAAAAAATGCATGTACTGGTATATGTTATTTTACATACTGAATACTTCTGTGAATGAAAACATAAATCCGTAAAAATTGTCAGCTGAGTTTGTTGTAAATTCGATTTCAATATAGTTTCCGGTAACGTCGAGCGGGAAATTGGTGTGCTCATAATCGACAGCACGTGTGCATACGACTGCTGTGTCCACTGACGATTCTTCTCCAACTGAAAAGCAAAATAAATAAATGAGCCGTGTCACGACAAAACCAACATAATGGGTTTGCGACCAGCATGGATCCAGACCAGCCTGCGCATCCGAGCAGTCTGATCAGGATCCATGTTGTTCGCTATCAGTTTCTCTACTTGTTATAGGGTTTGTAAGCGAACAGCATGGATCCTGATCAGACTGCGCTGATGCGCAGACTGGTCTGGATCCATGCTGGTCGCAAACCCATTATGTTGGTTTTGTCTTGACGCGGCTCAAATAGTTTAGAGTATGTCAATACAACCTCTAGAATTGTTGTTGTTATTGTTTGATAACTAACGTCTTAGTTCAAGGATCAGGGATTCAAGCCAATCACTTTCGAGAGGAATTAAGCAGTATTGGCGTCATATGATAAATCATGATCGTAACCCGAGTAGGGCTCGAACTCATGATTCCTGTATTGAAAGGCAGCGTCCTTGACCACTAGGTCCCCTGACACTATTCATGGCACAATCGTTTCGTCACATCACAACAGTACTGCAGGAAGTGGACACGAACGTGGTCTATAAAATGTTTTTATACAATGTTGATTACAATAATGAATTCTTATGGACGAGTATACATTAAATTTTGTCAAACCTATATTGGATGAGGACATAGCTGAGTCTAATATAGCTTTTGCAGCAGTGTCCAATATAACCAGTATTGTTCTCTTCAATTAATAATGACCTGTTTATTTCACATATTTTGACAACTGGACAGAACTGTGTTACTTCAAGTACAATAAAGAAATCCATATGATATTTTACCCTGAAAATAAACGAGGCTAGGTGGAGTACGGTATACATTTGATATATATCTATATTTTTGACTCTGAAAATGAAAACGAGGTACGACGTGTATTTAATATAGATTTTTTGGATTTTTGAATTGAAAACGCCGCCATATACTAGCTTCTATTATACTATATGCATTTAATGTAGCTAATGTATTATTTGCCTCTGGGAATGGAAATGACATGGTGGCTGATTTGTGCCATTCGTGTTTTTTTCCCGCAACCCCGCCAAGCGAAAAGTCGAAAATTAACAAGTTAAAATGGCGAGGGCGCGCAGCAAAAACATGCTAATTAGCGAGGGCACGGGGCGAAGTTTAATAAATAAAACTTCGCTTCGCGGCGCCCCCGCCGTTTTATTTCTTAAATCTCACCCTGCGCCTCGCGCGGCGAAGTTTTATTTATTAAACTTCGCCCTGCGCCCTCGCTAATTTGCGTGTTTTTGCTGCGCTCCCCCGCCATTTTAACTTGCTACTTTTCGACTTTTCGCTTGGCGGGGTTGCGGGAAAAAAAACACGAATGGCACAAATCAGCCACCATAAAACGAGGCATAATTGTTTATGATTTCTATTTGAACATCACAAGGTTCAAACGTTGACGGTTCATTGGTTATACATTGTTTTTTTTTAAAGTTGTGAGTAAAAATAAAAGTAATATGAGGACAGTTTGAATATCATAATCATATATCATAAATGTCGTTTTGAAAAATTAATCATATCTATATTATTTTTCAAGACAATTTTGAAATACCATTTACCCTTATGTAGCAAAATAGTATGTGACATAATGTTTGCAGATCAATTGATCATTATCAAGGTGAATAATGGCTTATTTGTCGGCGACTTTTGCCTTGAAAATAAATCCCAGAATGACACATATAACTGTTCTACATTTGTAAGATGATAATATTGAATCTTTTTCATATATATTTGTGTAAATTTACCGCTTATAAATCGGAGCGCATCGTTTGCACATCCTTTGGAGACTTCAATGTCCAGAAATGTCATGTTGAACGTTACGCCATAGTACAATGTTTGTGGATAGATTCTTATAATGCAAGAAAAATTACTGAAAGTAGAACATGATAATTATATAGTTCCAAAGACTTGTTAATAACCAGAACACAACAGAACGTTATCTATTTGACTTGAAAACATGATTTTTATAATATATTCAATTTGATAAAAATGAAAAAAAAACATTTTTCAATACTTATTTTCAATGAATTATAACAAACTTTAAAGACAAGAATATTATCACGTTATATTTTAAAGACGTTATTTATTATTAAACAAAAATTGATATCATAGCGTTGAAAAAAAAATCAATATTTCATGTTCGTTACATGTAATCATTTATATCATTACGTTACTGTCTAAATCCATAGAAATATACTATCCTTCAAACTTCTGAAATTTCTTCAAAAATGAATTTTGGCTAGCCATTTATTTTCGATTTCTTTTCGTTTTTTTTCGACAACAAATAAATTGTGACTAACAAGTCCGTAGATTTGTTATAGTATCGTTCTTTGAAATAAAATGGCATTTCGCTAACGTTTCGTGTTCGTGTGTGTCTTAGAAAATTTTGTCAAATGTTTGTCCGAAATTAAACCCAACCTTTCTCCAACATGATATGAAATTTGATCAACTGAATTCAAAACTTTTGCATTCGACAGTTCAATCAAAATTACATGAAATTTGACTAACCTTTCATACTCGTAAGGAAAATTGGGAGACATGATATATTGTCTTTCTGTGGATGCTGTAAGGTTACTGCTGCCATCGCACGCTGGTTGCAGATCTATCAAGAACAGTCAATAACAAACTTATTACACGGAGATGAAGTCAGTATTACATTTATTTACATAACATACTGTTAATACAAAGCCTCTTAAAGTGTATTTTTACGTATTCACGTATCTCGTTTAAATTACATTTATTTAATTCTATTTCTGAAATAGTGTGCTATATCAGAAAATTATACATCCATCATATCATTTTGTTTATAACAAATATGAAAAAAATTGGGTGGAGTCAAAACTCATATCTATTTTTGCGACAACTTTCTCAGATGATATTCTATGGCCGTCAGAAGCTTCAGATATTCATTTCATTATCAGACATTATGTGGTTATGTTTTTCTCAAACAAGATGGCAGAGGTAATTGTATATTGAACCGCGTCAATGTATTAATTAATTACTGCCCGTTGTACATTTGCAGCTACATAGCAAATTGAAGTTTCCGCATACAACTCTTATTCTTTGCTTATTTCATTGAAGGTACAATAAAATAAAAAGGATTATTTTTTGTTTGTTCCATTTTTTTTGTGAAATATGGGACATATTTATATGATAAAATTCAATTCATTTAAATAAATGGTAATATGGAATCTGATCATGTTTCGTGAATATGTATTCCATATTTCACTCAAACGAAAAATGAATGCCTCTTTTTATGTATAATATATTGTTGGTGGCATGCTCGGTTAAATAATTGAATAGAATATCATAATATATATATTTTTTACTTGACTTGAACTTAAAGATATAATTGTGTTTCGTTTGAAATTCGAAAGTCATTACACGATTTATCTCACAGGCAAATATAATATCTAATAAAAGTGATTGATGTTGTTGTTATAAACCAGTGTTAAATAGCTTAGTTCCATTTGAAATACAAATTTACATACTTTGTTAAGGTATCAGTATTTAATAGTCACTGTAAGGAGATATGTTACATAATGATATTAATTTTATTGCCAACGTGCATTGGATAAAAGTGTATAAATTATGTTATGTTTCGCACCTGAACTGTTACTAAACACAAGCATATTGAAGCCTTCATATTGCACGGCATAGTCCGATGTCAAAGTTGCATACAGTGTATCACTGGATGACACTAATGCGTTAATGTCATCATCGTTCGCCCAACATAATTTTGCAAGTTGCGTTGCTGAAGTATCCACTGAAATCGAAAAGACAGACATTAAAATCTTCGACGCCAATATCGCACAATACCACGAAAGACCGGTAGGGCCATTTCAACTTCATGAAATTCTCAATTTCAACTTCTAAAATTCACGATTTCAATTTCATGAATTAACGGTTCCAGCTTCATAATTTCAACTTTAGGAATTCCCGATTTCATCTTCATGAATTCCCGATTTCAACTTCATGAATTCCCGATTTCATCTTTATGAATTCCCGATTTCAACTTCATGAATTCACGATTTCAACTTCAGGAATTTACGATTTCAACTTTAAGAATTCATGATTTGAACTACAGAAGTTAAAATCGTGAATTCGTGAAATTGAAATCGTGAATTCTTGAAGTTTAAATCCTGAATTCATGAAGTTGAAATCCTGAATTCGTGACGTTGAAATCGTGAATTCATGAAGTTAAATTCGTGAAGTTGAAATCGTGAATTCATGAAGTTGAAATCGTGAATTCGAGAAGTTGAAATTGTGAATTCGTGAAAGTGAAATCGTGAAATTGAAAACGGAAGTTCAGGAAGATAAAATCGGGAATTCATGAAGTTGAAATGTCCCCACCGACTTTCGCACAATACCGCGTTTTCTACTGTAATGACCAAGTTTCCAAATTACGGCCAGCTTATGACCCCACTGTGATTTCGGTGGTTTCTTTCATGCTGATCCAAAGCACCCCATTGCTCGGCGTTCAGTGCAATCCCCACCCGTGCCATTGCATTGCTGTGGCGATTGTTCTTAGCTTAGTACTGCAGTACTCTTAATTCATCCGTGAGAAAGTCAAAGTTTAAGAAACAATTTTAGTGTTGAATTTCGAAGGATAGAAAAGAATGTGTTTTTTTTTCATAACTCTATTTTTTTTTAAAATGCGTCACAATTTTACGCCCGGCATGCTGAATGTTTCCAATAGAACGTTGAATTGTCAATACGAGGTTTAATTAAGGAAACATAAAATTTTCAGCTGTGACACATTTAAAAATCTATAATTATGTAATGGTATTTGGTTATAAGATTCGTCTTATCTTAAAATTCACGCATACTTTTAATACTTACACATTATGAAATAACATTATCTTTATTAAATAAGCAGACGTCAATTATGTAACAGAAGACGTCAATTAAATAAAACCAGACGTAATTAAATAAATGCAGACGTCCATTATGTAAAAAAACAGGCATCAATTAAATAAAAGCAGACGTCAATTAAGTAAATGCTGACATCAATTATGTAAAAGCAGACACTAATTAAGTAAATGCTGACATCAATTATGTAAAAGCAGACGTCAATTAATTGAGGAAAAGAAACAAACTTACCTCCATCGTAGATGGCAAGGTAGTCATATTTACAAGGGGCGGTTATTCCCTCTAGATTAAGAAATTCGATATTAACTGTTATTCTATCGCTTGGAGACGGGGCTTTTAATATCCATGCACAGTCTGAGTTCCTGAATAAAGAAAAAAAATGGCCCTGCTATTGTCATGTTGTCATTGTGCATAGTTTTGTACTACATGTACCTAAAAAGATGTTTAAATAATTCTGTCATTCAACATGTATAATGCTTATAATATCCCTTCTACCTCTTTTTTTGAAACATGTACTGCAGTACACTCCGATCTTCGGAAGTTTCCGTAACTTCTTAAAAAACTTAAAATAAATTATGCTTCGACGTTTTATAACAAAACTTGGTAAATAAAAATGCTTTTATATAGATTATTGATAATAATGTATAGGAATTGATCAGATTTGTGGAATTTAAAGGTTTACTGGCATAACAATTTCATATATACATGTACTTACGGTTCATAAAATTCAGGGTAGTTTGGGGATGACACATAATACGGCAGAGATGTGATATTGACTTGTAGAGGCCTTGTAGCATCGTCACACTGGCCAGCAACTAGATTTATACCATATAGAATGACAAATATAGTACATGTATGTTTAATTATGAAACATCTTTTAACATTACTTGTGTATCAATGTAAAGAATGCAATGACATGGCCATCTTATTATTCCATCTATTTTGTTATTTTCTCAAATGATTTTCATTTCACATTGAATTAGTTACATTCCTTACATAATTAAAAACACGTGTACTTTTTTGTTTGGTATACCCCCTATATGTAAACAAACAATAAAATAATCATAGCTTAGTACCAGATGAAGACATATTCTGTCGCACAACAAATGGTAAATAATAGAATTTTAAACATAACAGTGCAGATACTTTATTCTTGACTTGACAAATGTACAATCAAACATTGTCATACAAATATATAAACCATTTTACAATAATTATACATATAAACTCAGATCTAAACATTGCCCTTTCAAATTAAAGTAGACTTTGAATTTTTAATATATTTTAGTTGTTTAAACTGTTTCTAAGGTATTTTCTTATGAACAATCGCATTTCTTACATACAAGAAAAAATTCACAAGTCTGATTTCAGCATAAAGATGAATTTTAGCATACAAGGTCTAGTATAATAGTATCTTGCTTTAAACATACATGTATATTATTTTGTTATATCATTATAACAAGGACAAATTAAAATTTGAAAATAAAATGAAATAGTATTGATTTTCTCTCATATAGCTTACAATTTATAACCTGTCTCTCACTGTGGCGCCATTATACGAAGCAAACCGCTAAATGTCGTACTTGCCGCTTAATGTCGCACTTGCCGCACTTGCCGCTAAATACCGCACTTGCCGCTAAATCTCGTACCAATGCCGGTTAATATCGCAATTGTAACGTTAAATGTTACACGATTTCCCTTATTCTTACTATACCGTTAACTGTCGCAACATCTAAAATTGGTATCGTGTCAATATTTCTGTTATGTAAAGGATTTGAGGAAGTCTATGGATTGACTTTAAACTTAAAGCTGGACATTCTTTAACAATATCTGCCTGAAAGTTGGTCTGAATGTCTAGCTAGCTTCACATACCAGCTCGATATTTAAAAGGGAAAGAAAATAATAATGTCGAGCTGAATGTCTAGCCAGCTTCTCATACCTGCTCAAATAGAGACACAAAAACCAAATGTCGAGTTGAATGCTGTGATGATTTTCTAGCCAGCGTCACATCCAAATTTGACATTCAAATAAGGGACATAAAAATAAATGTCGAGCTGAATGTTTTGATGAATGTCCAGCCAGCTTCACATCCCAGCTCTGCATTCCAAAAGGAGGGAAAAAAGATTGTCGGTCTGACTGTTGTGCTGATGTCCAGCTTCACATCCCATCTCGATATTGAAAAAAAAAAAAAAAAAAAAAAAAAAAATAAATAAATAAATAAAAAACCAAAAACGAAGAAAAAAAATCGAACTAAATGTTGAGGTGAATGTCGTGCCAGCTTCACATCCCAGCTCGACACTGCAAAAAGAAACAAAAAGCCAATTTCGAGCTGAATGTTGTGCCGAATGCCTAGTCAGCTTCACATTTCATCTCCACATTTATAAATCTAATGTCGAACTGAATGTTTTATCTCTGTGCTAACTTCATGGACTTGATCAGAGAACCAGCTATCTTTCAGATTTGTAAAGGATTTGTAAATATGGTTGAAATCGAAATCATCTTGATCGGTATTATAAATTGACGGCCATTTTGTATGCCGATAAATTTTTCATTGCCAGTTTACGCTTTTGAACTTCTCTAGCTAAATCACGACCGACAATTTACTTGTTGGCCTAACCTGGCGGTCTGATAGTTACACACAAGACGATACTTACATGTCAGAAAATTATATCATTTGATTCTTGTCACTTATGATCAAGATTTTTTAATGGCAACAAGCGATGTTATAGGAAATTGTTGCGCGTTAAGAGACCAGAAATGTGCCATACAACCAAACTCAATCGCATGTTCGGTGGTTTTAGCACGGATTAACGTTTGAGTTCAATAGAAAAGAAAGCCTTGTTTAAAAGGTTAAAGGGTAGCAAGTACCGTAGATGACCGAATTAAGAATTAATTATTTTTATTGTGTCTTGAACTCATCGAACATATTGAATGTGCTTAATAAATTATCTTTAAGCGATTATAAATGTGATTTATATAAAAATAATCAATTTGATTTTCAGATTGTAGAATGCTAGTACTTACAACAATATATACAATATTAGCAGTCTGATACAGATTTCTTTTTATTTTGAGTTGCACAAACACAGAAAGTTCACATTGGCGAAGAAAGACCTCAGGTCTCCGTGCGTTATTTCAGACTTGCGTTATTTCAGACATGCGTTATTTCAGACATGCGTTATTTCAGACGTGGGTTATTTCAGACGTGGGTTATGTCAGACATGCGTTATTTCAGACGTGCGTTATTTCAGACGTGGGTTATTTCAGACGTGGGTTATTTCAGACGTGGGTTATTTCAGACGTGGGTTATTTCAGACATGCGTTATTTCAGACGTGGGTTATTTCAGACATGCGTTATTTCAGACGTGGGTTATTTCAGACGTGGGTTATTTCAGACATGCGTTATTTCAGACATGGGTTATTTCAGACGTGGGTTATTTCAGACTTGGGTTATTTCAGACTTGGGTTATTTCAGACGTGGGTTATTTCAGACGTGGGTTATTTCAGACGTGCGTTATTTCAGACGTGGGTTATTTCAGACATGCGTTATTTCAGACGTAGGTTATTTCAGACGTGGGTTATTTCAGACATGCGTTATTTCAGACATGCGTTATTTCAGACATGCGTTATTTCAGACATGCGTTATTTCAGACTTGGGTTATTTCAGACGTGGGTTATTTCAGACGTGGGTTATTTCAGACATGGGTTATTTCAGACGTGGTTATTTCAGACATGCGTTATTTCAGACTTGGGTTATTTCAGACGTGGGTTATTTCAGACGTGGGTTATTTCAGACATGCGTTATTTCAGACATGCGTTATTTCAGACATGCGTTATTTCAGACTTGGGTTATTTCAGACTTGGGTTATTTCAGACATGCGTTATTTCAGACATGCGTTATTTCAGACGTGGGTTATTTCAGACATGCGTTATTTCAGACATGCGTTATTTCAGACGTGGGTTATTTCAGACGTGGGTTATTTCAGACGTGGGTTATTTCAGACGTGGGTTATTTCAGACGTGCGTTATTTCAGACATGCGTTATTTCAGACGTGGGTTATTTCAGACATGCGTTATTTCAGACATGCGTTATTTCAGACATGCGTTATTTCAGACGTGGGTTATTTCAGACATGCGTTATTTCAGACATGGGTTATTTCAGACATGCGTTATTTCAGACGTGGGTTATTTCAGACGTGGGTTATTTCAGACATGCGTTATTTCAGACATGCGTTATTTCAGACGTGGGTTATTTCAGACATGCGTTATTTCAGACATGCGTTATTTCAGACATGCGTTATTTCAGACGTGGGTTATTTCAGACATGCGTTATTTCAGACATGCGTTATTTCAGACATGCGTTATTTCAGACGTGGGTTATTTCAGACGTGGGTTATGTCAGACATAAACGGGAACCTCAATAGAATCAGCGATCTTCCGTAAACTAAGTGTGGTATCTTCCTCATATGAAAGAATACTACGCCACTGGCTGGATTAGAAATCACAGCAGTGAGGAGCAGGTACATCGACAGTGGTAAAGTTATAAACTTCATATTTACGCAAAGCAATACACTACAAATTAGTATTATATGCGCCTAACAACCATCATAGTTGTATACTATACTCCAATCAACCGCTTTTACATTTTGATTTCAAACAAAAATGAAATTTAAAAAGCATGTTTCGTCTTGAGTAAGCAGATAAATCGGGACATTTCTTTAAGTCCCAAAGTTACTAAATATATACAAACATTTACTCAATGTTTATTGTAATATAATACCAGTAGCGAACTTAATTTTATCAAGAATAAACATCTTGCGACATTGAGCGGTAGTGTTGCGACATATAACGGCAAGGGAAAATCGTGCGACATTTAACGTTACAATTGCGACATTAAACGGTATTGCGATATTTAGCGGCGGTTGCGACATTAAGTGACAAGTGCGACATTTAAGGGCGTTGCGACATAAAACGTTGCCACACTCATAAACAGAATTACAACATAACATTGCCATTGTTTAAAATATAATGCTGAATTAATTGTGAATAAATGTTGAAGATATGTTGTAACCATGAAATAAAGTTTAGAATTTTGAATTTAACAGCACATCTAAGGAAAAAGAATCACGCCATGCATCACTTTCAAGACTTCATAAATTTATACTTTGAAAGAATTTAAGAACTTGATCATAATGATAAAAAATGAAAAAGAAAATATAATGGTGTTGATACGTCAACAAATACAAACAAATCGATCATAATGAAAACGGAACAGAAACACGTTTTTAATTAGAGGTATTGTAATTGTTTATTTACTGTCGTCGGTAGCTTACACGATCATTCATTCATTCATTCATTCATTCATTCATTCATTCATTCATTCATCCATCCATCCATCCATTCATTCATTCATTCATTCATTCATTCATTCATCCATTCATTAATTCAAGTCATATCATTGTAAAATATACAAATAACAAAACAGATACATAAAGCATTCAAAGACAGTTTAAATAACAAATTTCCTTACATTTATACATTAAATATCGGTCTTTTGTATTGATATAATATTTATTCTTATTTAATTTAAATCTAGGCTATTCTTGTTAATCCCATAATTCAGTATTCATAAAAAAGCAGTATGATAAAAAATATTTAAAGATTATCATCAGCTGCATTTGTGTTTGTTAACCCCCGACCCTCAATCCCACAACCACCGGGATCGTTAACATTTTCATGCAGATGATAAAAAGAGCATAAAGTGTTTTTGAAGTCCCGATGTGATCTATGTCGGGCATCAAATTACAACGCCAAATAGGTTTGATCAGATATGTTTTCAGACGATTCATTCAATAAGTGTAATATTGTAATATCATTATCTTTTATTGAAATATACAGCTAGCAGCTCAAATGACCCAATTTCTTTTGAGTTGAACGATATTTTACCATCTAAAGGCTACCATCATGGTTCTCTTATTTTAGTTGTGTACAAAGTTTTTTACTCAATCAATCAATCAATAAATAAATCAATCAATCGATCGACCGATCGACCGACCGACCAACCAACCAACCAATCAATCAACCAACCAGTCAGTCAATCAATGAAAATCTTTCTAAATACCAAAAGAAAATGATTTGCTTGATGCATAAAATAACTTTCATCCTAGAATGCAATATAGTATGCAAAATGGCATTACTTTTTCTAATCTTTTAAAATAAATTTTAAAATATATGCTCAGTTCACTTTACTAGTAGCTTAAAATGTTAATATTGATGATGTTCATGATCATAATGATGATGACGTTTATGATGATATAATATGATAATTATAATGATGTGATAAAGACAGTGAAGATAAAGTGACTATGATGATGATAAAGTGATTATAATGATGATGATAAAGTGATAATAATAATTATGATAAGGTGATAATATAATAATAATAATAATAATGATGATGATGATGATAAAGTGATGATAAAAGTGATGATAAAGTGGTTATAATGATTATTATAGTGATAATAATGGTAATGATAAAGTGATAATAATGATAAAGTAATAATAATGATGATGATAAAGTGATAATAATGGTTATAATAAAGTGATTATAATGATTATGATTCAGTGATAATAATAATAAAATGACAATAATGATCAAATAATTATAGTTATTGTGATGAAATGATAATAATGATCGTGATATAGTGATAATAATGAATAATTCAAGTAAATCGGTGATAATATAGGATGTAGTATGTCTAAAACCATCTGTGCACCTTAACCTTAAATGATATGATTATTGGCAAAGGAAACTGGTCCTGTAAAAAAACTCATTTGATATAACTGCCCATCTTTACATTAATCAACTAAAAAAAAAAACAAAAAAAAAACAAACTACAAATTAAACGTACCTTGCACAACAATAGTCCCACATACTAGTGCTAATTGTAAAAAGCTTCCAAGTACATACATTCGTTCCATTTTAAAACTGATATATTCAAATATACTATAAAACAAGACAACGTATATTTTATTAACGTATGTAACTATAAATAGTAATTGTTAAGTACTTAAATTTAATTTAAAAGCAGTAAACACGCAGTTTCAACACTATCTATTACGATTTAATTTAAAATGTATTGCCATTTTTAAATACAGTTACATACAT